GACTCGTGTTGGACACGATGCCATGGCCCTGTCACAGGTCGCTGTGCTTTCACAAAGCTCCTCTGTCCACAGCCACTGGGCCTAGAAGGCCCTAGAGGGGTTAGCGTGGGACCAACCCCACCCTGCACGTGCCCTGCCCCGCCTTGGCCGCGCCCGCTGCTCTCCCAGCGCACGGAGCCCCGCCCCCGGAGCCCGGGAGCACCAGCTCAACGCTCCGCCAGGGGGGGCGTGAACCTTCCCGCGTCCCGTAGCCGGGTGAAGACCGCAGTCCGCTCCGGCCGGCCTCGCGGATTGGCTCCGGAGCTGCCCGGCGCAGGCGCACTGGAGCCAGTCGCCGGGAGGAGGTCGGCGGCGCTTTCGTTCTTAAAGTGCGAGCGGAAGGGGCCGGGGCGGCGGCTGCAAAATGGTGAGTGGAGCCGCCGGAGGGAGCGGTGCCCGCCCGGCCCTGGGAGCTGCCCGCGGCGGGAGGGGCTGCCGGGCAGGGCAGGGGCTGGGGCTGGCCATCCCCCGGCCCGGGGGTGGATGAGGGAGGCCTGGCCGCTCGCAGCTGCCCTGGCTTGGGCACCCTTCGTCCCCCCGCGCCATCCCCTTCCGTGGCAGCCCCAGCGGGCGAGCCCGAGGGGGTTGGCTGGGGCGCCTGTCGGAGGCAGGGGCCAAGCGGCCACCCCCAGGGCCCGTCCTGTGCGGGGCTGCGAACCCGCGTGTGACTCAGGGCGACACCCGCATCGTGCGGCTGGGGGTGTAAAAACCGGGCAGCAGAAGCCCGTGAATCCCAGCGCTGGTTGAACCCGGGACACGATGGACGGAGCTCTTAGCCCTGCCTGTAGCTGTTTCCATGGCTTCACAGCGGCACGGCAGACCGGGGAGGCTTGGCACTGATGTGTGTGTGTGTGTGTGTGGGTGCTGGAAGAGTTGTGTGTATTTGTGCTGCCGTGCGGGTCTGTGTGTGCTCGGGGCTATTCTGGGTGCTGGTTGTGTTCTGTTGTGTGGCTGGCTGTGGTGCTTCATGATGATCTGCACAGGTGATGAGTCAAGGGGGTGCTCTGCCCTTAGGGGCTAGGTGTGTTTGGGGCTCTGTGTGTCCTAGTTGTGTTGACGTGTGTCTGGATGGGGGGGGAGTTGAAAATTCATGTTCGTGCGCACAGGTGGCGAGTGCTGCAGTGAGGGGCTAGGTGTATTTAGCGTTATTGTGTGGGTTGTGTTGGTGCTGAGAGAGTTGTGTGGGTGGTGAATGAGACGTGTGTGTTTGGAGTCATTGTGTGTGTGCTAGTCTTTGAAGAACTGTGGCAGCTGGGCCAAGTAAGCCACCATCTGTGCAGTCTCCCTCATAGAATCAATGAAATTGTTTTATGCAAATGAGCCGTAGAGTCAGGGTGGGGGTTGGCTGAATTGTCTGATATCACAGTGGTCTAGGAGTCTTGGTAGGTAGTAGATAAATAAATGACTTGCAGTGGGTGTAACTTATAAAGTCAAAATGGCAGAGAGTTTATAATTTACTGCAGATCCCACTAATGATATTTGGAACAAAAAGCTCTCAGCCATGCTTGTAGCGGTTTCCATTGCTTCATGCTGACTCAACAGACATTCTAGGCTTCAGAGTGACAATCTTGGAATCTTATTGTATAGATGGAGCAAAAATTATACCTGAAACCAAATGGGCAGGGTCTGAAGGGGACAGGAAAGGTGGAATCCTGCAGGTGTGGTCTCTAGAGTCACTGCTAGTGTTTCACTGTTTTTCCACATGCTTCCCTTTGAGTTTGCTACTTTGTAATAACTTTTGTTAGGTGGAGGTGTGACAGGGGAGAAACAGTTCTAAAATGTTACTGTGTATGGAAACAAGATTGTAAACTGAGGGCTTGTCTACACTGGCAATTAACAGTGCTGCAACTTATTTGCTCAGGGGTTTGAAAAAACATCCCCCTGGGCACTGCAAGCTGCAGCGCAGTAAAGCACCAGTGTAAACTGCCCCAGTGCTGGGAGCCATGCCCCTCATTGATGTGGGGCGTGTGGTTTTTTTTTTTAAGAGCGCTGGGAGAGCTCTCTCTCAGCACTGTGCCGTGACCACACAATAGGGTGACCAGATGTCCCCTTTTTTATAGGGCCAGTCCTGATTTTGGGGGCTTTTTCTTATATAGGCACCTATTACCTCCCCCACCCCCTGTCCTGATTTTTTACAGTTGCTATCTGGTCACCCTACCACACAAGGCACGTTCAAGCACATTAGCATTGCCCGTGTAGACTAGCCCTAAAGTAGTCCTGATCTTGCATGACTCCTGAGAAAGCTGCATCCTTTTTTCTTGAAGTAGAGCTCAGAAAGGTCACACAATGAGAAGTTCTTCTAGCTCTGCAGTAACTGAAGATAAATGCTTCAGTTGAAACATGCATTTCTCAGCTTCTTGCTTACACTTGGTGTGTTGCTAGAAAGTGATCATTTGTGGCTGTGTGTGTGTCTATGGGGACGAGGGATATGAAAACAGTGTGACTAACTCTTAACAGGTTTCCATCCTGCCTTCCTACAGATGTTGCAATATGAAAAAATTTCTGTGTAAACAGTTCGAAAAGTCACTCTTCTGTGATCAGTTGGGAGGAGGGCAGCTGGCTAAGCTATCAGTTCTGGAAGAATTTAAAGTGTGGTTCTAGCCAGAAAAGGGACATGGTAAAAAAAATGGCACTCCCTTACTTAGCAGATTTGCTCTCTCTGCGTAGTCAGTCATAGATCTGCTGGCTTTAGTGAAAGCATATTTATTTATGTATTTATGTTTACCTCTGGTGCTGGAGAGCCAGCATAGCCAACAGGGAGTGAACTGGATTATGTTCCTCATGTAAACACAAAAGAATTGTTTGTTTAATTCTATTTACAGGGCTAATTTGAGCCACCTGTGGAACCCCAGGGGATTGCACAAATGGTTTGGCCTGCAGTACTTTGTTTGCTATTTATTGGAGAGAAAAGAATTTAGATAGTCTCTCATCCCAAAATGAGTTTGTGGAGCTGGCAGTTGGAAGAAATGTCTTGCTTTCAAAATGGAAACACTTGATGTGCAGTATCATTTAGAAACCATTCACATGGATCACCATGCAATATTTAATCACTTTCAGAGTAGAACCACACTACTATGACAGCAGCAGAAGTAGATGCTAATACTAGCATGTGAGTGAGGATGATCCAAAATATAGTCTGGGGAAACAAGCACACAGCCATCATCCTCATCCTTGCAGCACCCAGGAGCCTGAGAGAGTAGAGGAGTAGAGTGCCATCCCAGGAGATTCATAGGTGGAGGAAGAAGTCTCCATTCCAGCAGTCATAGAGAGCAAACTCAAGACACCTTTCCAGAGGCTGATGAAGATGGAGTCCAAGATGCAGAGTCTAGAAACAGCAAGAGAATGCTTGGATGAGGTTTGCCCTTGCTCATTTTTTAGTGAGGAAACCCTCCTCTCTCCAATATTGGCCTCTAGTAAGGTGTCTGGTAAACTACTTGAGGCCTGAGTTTAAAGACTAAATTTCTTCTGATCACTAAACTAGTGATGATTTCTTTTACCGAATGATTCATTTAGTGGCTGCCTTCAATAATTTTAGAATTGTTGACTTGTATTTAAAGATAGGTTTTAATTAAACTACCCCAGCAGGAAAGTTCAGGCATGTCTGAGTACTTGCAGAGAAACATTCGTGGGACTTCCTCTCCCTAACTAATTCTTGACAAATTCCTCTTTATGAAGGAAGCTATCTGTAAACTAAGATAAGTGGACTAGGACTTTGGAGTAGTTGCATATGGATTCAGAACCTTACTTCAGTATCTTTCTAAACTCTAATTTATTCCTTTAAGACTTGCTCTTCATAACATGATCATTTAGCTTTATATATGGATTTTGTTAGCCCTGATTTCTCAGGAGTGAGTGTATAAAGGAAACTCCTATGTATGGTGGTTACAGTAGTATAATTGAGCTAAAGATGGTGAACTAATTTTTCTTCCTTCTGCTTGGCAACGGTGTTCTGATATGCTTGGCATTCAGTCAAAGCTACCTATGGTGACAGAACATTTGCTGAGCGGTGGAGCTGACTGTTACAACAAGACATGCGAGGGAGTGTGTATAAAGAATGATGCAGGAAATGGGCAGTGGTCAGTGTGGTGCAATTACAAATTATATGTAAAATGGTTTATAACTTAGAGGGCTAGCTGTGAAGGAACTGATCACTTTCTTTCCTACCTTCAACAGGATAATTTTTCTAATACTTCATTTTAGATTTCACTAACTCTAAGTTTTCAAAAAAGTGACTTGTAAATATAATAGTAGGAAAAGTGCACACTTTTCTCATTTAATATAGTTTAACACTTTGCGTGTAGGCAAAATTTGAAGGTTCAGCGTTCTGCTTTCATACCTAGCACAACAGGGCCCTGATTGGGGCCTCTAGATGCTATTGAAATATTAACCGCTCTTATTACTTTAAATATTCACACTGCTGTACTGGCATTAGTGTCTTAAATGTGTATTTAATAGGGTGTCTTATTTCAGGACTAAACTTGCAAAATCAGTTGCATATCTGATTCATTATTTTAACGTGTAAGTTGCAGAAACAGGATCGCTTGATAAGGTAAAAGTATGGAAATTTTCTGACTTCAGGAATCAAGAATAAATATGTAAAGACATTTGGTCCACATTTTTCTGATATTTAACTTTCCTTTTTTGGCCCAGTATGAAAAGATAAGACAAGATTTGTTTCTTGTGTACCACAAGTCCATTTTTCACTGTGTTTAATGCTTACGTTGTCTTTTTTTGTACATCTGAATTTTATGCATGTTCTGAATCTTCAACTAACTTCATGTAGTCATATAATTTTGGGAGGATTTTTGTTAACTGAAATTGTTTTTTCTGTAGAGTGAATCTCTGGTGGTTTGTGATGTTGCTGAAGATCTGGTGGAAAAGTTGAGAAAATTCCGGTTTCGCAAAGAAACGAACAATGCTGCCATTATAAGTAAGCTAAAATCATTGCCAACAAAAGCTACAAGGTCTTACAGAAAATCTCTGATAATTTTTAGGCTGCTGCAGCAAAATGGCGTGGACTATGCTTCTACTATAACACTAACTTTGATATTTTCCCATTCCCTCTTAACAGTAGAACAACATTATTTTATGGTACGGAACTAAAGCTTTCAGAATAAAAGCTGTCACACTTGCTGTTAATAGAAATACTTATGTGCTTAAATACTGCTTAAAATGGAAAAAGTCTACCACTGGCAGCACGAAGGTGGAGGATAAAGCCAATACTTGACCCTCTTAGGTTTGAGTATATTTGACATTCTTAAAGTAGGCTATTTCGAAATTGCTAGTTTTGTAACAAAGTTTGGGAGGAGAAGTCTTGACTGCACTGAAGTTAAAACTCCCATTGACTTCCGTGGGGCCAGAATTCCACTCGTTGATTATTGTCAGAGGGGGCGGGGGAGAAGAGGAGGGAGTGAAAGTACAAGATAATGCAGTAGGTGGGTTAAATAAAAAGCTGATTATTATATGCATGTAATTCTAGAAAAGTTGCAATTTTAACCTTTAATTAAAAAAAAAAAAGGTGTGTGTGGAGACAGCACCCCGTATAGATGCACAGTTCACCTATGTTATGTTTTTATTATAGTGAAGATTGACAAGGATAAGCAGCTGGTGGTACTGGATGAGGAGCATGAGGTTTGTTAAATGAACTGTAAATAAGAATATCTTCAGCTTGCCGTGTATTGTTGCTGCTGAGGTACTGTCTTAGTGTCAAATTGTTCTCAAACTGTTAATCTCATTTGGGTTATGAACCTCCTTCAAATCTATGGTTACTCTGCGGGTGAAGCATGATACGCTATTAATTGAGCTGTACGGTAGCAATTGTATGACTAATTATCCAAACAAAATGCTTTAAGCTTTAAAATGTTAATTAAATTATATTTGAATAAAAATTATGCAAAAAGCATCTCTCTCCATTTGCTGGCTCTCGGGAAGAATTCTTGCTGAGCCTTTTGCTGACTTGCACTCTGGACTCTGCATTGACCTGCCATTAGTTAGAAGTTAGGATTGTCTTAATCCCTGTAGACAGGTGGAATAATAACTTGATCTCAATCTGTAGTGTTGGCCTACACAGGGACAGCATGAAATCTTATGCAATGACTTGAAAAATAACTTTTACCCCTCTCCCAGAATGTTAAAAAATATAATATTTGAAGAGGAGAATATTGGCCACTATGAACGGTTAGGCTTGTTCACTAGTCCAGGAACTGGTCTCTCACAGATGGAGACCAAGGGCTAGATTTCAGGATCAGTTTGTATTGCTGGTTGTAGCAAATCTTGCACACTCGTGTTCAGTAGCAGAGATTGAAATATGTGGTGAGTGCCAGTATATCTAAAACTAGAGTGGAGCCACAAAACATCAGTTTCTTAAACTGATAAGGACACAGAGTTTTTTTTATATTAACATTAAATCTCTTATACAAAATTACTAAAGCAGTTTAGCAATCAATTTACAGTTGAGTCTTCCTATGACTGTTCCCATAGGATTGCTCTCCGTTAAATTGAAGAGATGTAACTGTAGATGTAGCAGTGTCTTACTCCCATTACCCTCATACTCTAGCCCATATAGTGTGTAGGTCTGAGTTTCTCGATACTTTAAATGACTGCTTCTTGGAGCAGCTGGTACGGGAACCCACAAGGGGAGAGGCAACTCTCGATTGAGTCCTGAGTGGAGCGCATGAGCTGGTCCAAGAAGTAACTATAACAGGACCGCTTGGAAATATTGACCATAATATAACAACATTTAACATCCCTTTGGTCGGAAGAACACCTCAACAGCCCAACACTGTGGCATTTAATTTCAGAAAGGGGAACAATGCAAAAACGAAGGGGTTAGTTAAACAGAAATTGAAAGGTACAGTGACTAAAGTGAAATCCCTGCGAGCTGCATAGACGCTTTTCAAAGACTCCATAATAGAGGCCCAACTTGAATGTATACCCCAAATTAAGAAACACAGTAAAAGAACTAAAAAAGAGCCACCGTGGCTTAACAACCATGTAAAAGAAGCAGTGAGAGATAAAAAGACTTCTTTTTAAAAAATGGAAGTCAAATCCTAGTGAGGTAAATAGAAAGGAACATAAACACTGCCTAATTAAGTGTAAAAATGTAATAAGAAAAGCCAAAGAGGAGTTTGAAGAACGGCTAGCCAAAAACTCAAAAGGTAATAACAAAATGTTCTTTAAGTACATCAGAAGCAGGAAGCCTGCTAAACAACCAGTGGGGCCCCTGGACGATCGAGATAGAAAAGGAGTGCTTAAAGAAGATAAAGTCATTGCGAAGAAACTAAATGGATTCTTTGCTTCAGTCTTCAGGGCTGAGGATGTTAGGGAGATTCCCAAACCTGAGCCAGCTTTTGTAGGTGACGAATCGGCGGAATTGTCACTGATTGAGGTGTCACTAGAGGAGATTTTGGAATTAATTGATAAACTTAACAGTAACAAGTCACCGGGACCAGATGGCATTCACCCAAGAGTTCTGAAAGAACTCAAATGTGAAGTTGCGGAACTATTAACCATGGTTTGTAACCTGTCCTTTAAATTGGCTTCTGTACCCAGTGACTGGAAGATAGCTAATGTAACGCCAATATTTAAAAAAGGCTCTAGAGGTGATCCCAGCAGTTACAGACCGGTAAGTCTAACGTCCGTACCGGGCAAATTAGTTGAAACAATAGTAAAGAATAATATAGTCAGACACATAGAAGAACATACACCTCTACCTCGATATAACGCAACCCGACATAACACAAATTCGGATATAACGCGGTAAAGCAGTGCTCCGGGGGGGGGCTGCGCACTCAGGTGGATCAAAGCAAGTTCGATATAATGCAGTTTCACCTATAATGCGATAAGATTTTTTTGGCTCCCGAGGACAGCGTTGTATCGAGGTAGAGGTGTAAATTGTTGTTTCTGTAAAGGGAAATCATGTCTTACTAATCTATTAGAGTTCTTTTGAAGGGGTCAACAAACGTGGACAAGGGGGATCCAGTGGACATAGTGTACTTAGATTTCCACAAAGCCTTTGACAAGGTCCCTCACCAAAGGCTCTTACGTAAATTAAGTTGTCATGGGATAAGAGGGAAGATCGTTTCATGGATTGAGAACTGATTAAAAGATAGGGAACAAAAGGTAGGAATAAATGATAAATTTTCAGAATGGAGAGGGGTGTTCCCCAAGGGTCAGTTCTAGGACCAATCATATTCAACTTATTCATAAATGATCTGGAGAAAGGGGTCAAAAGTGAGGTGGCAAAGTTTGCAGATGATACTAAACTGCTCAAGATAGTTAAGACCAAAGCAGACTGTGAAGAACTTCAAAAAGATCTCACAAAACTAAGTAATTGGGCAACAAAATGGCAAATGAAATTTAATGTGGATAAATGTAAAGTAATGCACATTGGAAAAAATAACCCCAACTATACATACAATATGATGGGGGCTAATTTAGCTACAACTAATCAGAAAAGAGATCTTAGAGTCATTGTGGATAGTTCTCTGAAGACGTCCATGCAGTGTGCAGCAGCAGTCAAAACAAACAGGATGTTAGGGATCATTAAAAAGGGGATAGAGAATAAGACGGAGAATATATTATTGCACTTTTATAAATCCATGGTACACTCACATCTTGCATACTGCATACAGATGTGGTCTCCTCATCTCAAAAAAAGATGTACTGGCATTAGAAAAGGTTCAGAGAAGGGAAACTAAAATGATTAGGGGTTTGGAACAGGTCCCATATGAGGAGAGATTAAAAGGCTAGGACTATAACAGCGTTTAAAAGAACTTCCATGAATTTATAAAGTTCTAAGTCCGTTAATGGATATTAGCCAGGATGGGTAAGGAAGGGTGTCCCTAGCCTCTGTTTGTCAGAGGGTGGAGATGGATGGCAGGAGAGAGATCGCTTGATCATTACCTGTTGGGTTCACTCCCTCTGGGGCACCTGGCATTGGCCACTGTTGGTAGACAGGATACTGGGCTAGATGGACCTTTGGTCTGACCTAGTACGGCCATTCTTATGTTCTGAGTTCACCTATTGAAAGACTGCTTGTGTTTTAATATTACTAGGGCATTTCCCCTGATGAACTAAAAGATGAGCTGCCTGAGAGACAACCTCGATATCCTTTTTCTAATGTTGCTAGTATTGTTTTGTTTACTGAAAAAAATTAAATCTAAAATGCATTTGAAATTGAATTTTCCATTTTTTTTTCTTCAAACAAGTATTTGCCTACAATGGAAATTCTCCCTATGTTAATTCAAAAATTGATTAATTTTCATGATCTATTCTGTGGTCACATGCCATTTCTTAGCAAAGACTTGTACACTGGTATAGTGAAGTCTCTACTTCTAAGACTTGGTTACTTTCACTGTGTTTTGAATGGCTTTCAGTCTGCTCTTTTGCAGGGATATTCAGCACATTAATTCAACAGAAAGATTTAAATTAACACTTTAGCTATAGGTTCTCCATTTAAAGGTTAGCAAAGCACACGAAACCATCCAATGTTTGCTGTGCAAAGAGCTACCAACAAATAGTTTGCCAAGAGAGCATGCAAAGAGCAGCAAAAATTATCTCTTTAGAAAAAGAAATCTGACTACTTATCTGATTTAGCTGAAACTTCATATTTAAAACATTGTAGAGGGAAATCATTGGAAAATGACTTGTTGTGAAAAGGACAATATTGAGAACTAACATTTATTTTACAAAATATTCACACAAACACCTGTCTCAGATGTGGGTTATGTTACTGAAAAGCAGGGTAAATCCTCCAATGGCTCAAACTCCAATCGGAATAGAAACTGAGATGGGAACAAGATGAAACAGTACAGAAACTGATGTATGTAAGCGTCTTTTAGAACAGATGGCAAAGGGAGATTTATTTTTGCCTATAACAAGCTCAGCTAATGAATGTAAGGATTATGTTCTAAGAGATCAGTGAGTTTTTTTTTTAGTTTCCTTAACCTCAGAAAAACATTCATTGTGTATAGTTACAAGTATCAGCATGATGATGGAAGAGTTTCTTATCCATTGTGCTTTATCTTCTCCAGTCCAGTCGGTGAGTAAACATTGTGAATAGTAGTTGCTATATCCTATAAATGTGGAAGTTCTTGTATCTATGAAACAAAAAAGGCCTAATGCTTAAGATCAATGGTTTTCACACTTAAGGCCAAATTCATCAGTATGCTCTCTCTGGCTTAAGGGCTTGCAAATTCACAGTAAGGGCTCCCTGACAAACTTCTTTGGAGGGGGAGTTCCTGGCAGGCACAGAGCCAGTTGTATGCGACCTCCTACAGGAGTGTCAAATATTCCTGTGTCCCAGCTGCCAGAACAGCTGTTGCAGCTGGGGCCCACATTAGAGCAACTCTCATGCTGCCTTAGTCCGTACCAGGGACTGAATGGCCCTGAAGAAACCTAGGAGTGGGAGGGAAAAAGCCAACTCAGCACCTCGACTTTGTTACAAACTCTGTTCATACGCAGGGAATGAATTGGCCCTTGAGATCAGTCTGCACTTTCTGAATTGTAATAGGGTGGCTTTCTGCAGCTATTAAATTACATTGTAATCCTTGAGAGAGAGAGTGCATTGTTTTACCCTTCACTACTCTGCTTGCTAGAATAACCAGGTGGGTGTTAAAGTTTAGCAATAAAAGTACAGAAAAAGGTGTGGATCTTCAGTAGTTAATTTCTGTAACAAGTTCTAAGCCATGCCTATGGTGCTAGGTTCTGCTCTGTGAGAGCTCGACCTGTGGTAAGATGCTTCACAGGAGACCTTATCTAGAATTTATTTCCGTAGTTATTGTATCTTAAGATTTTGTTTGTATAAGTTCCCCTCTATTTTCAGTGTCTGGTTAAAACTACTACAAAGAGTCAGGACATAGATGGCTTGCTAAATGAAATAAAGCTGGTAATATTTTTTTTGTCCAATCAGTTTATTTTTCTTTGTCTTGCCCTGAAAGTTATTGTATGAGATTAGTGGCTAGACTCAGATAAATGCATTCCTTGTATAAGACTGCATCTGTGGTTCAGGAAGAAATTGGAATCTATTAGAAACAGCAGCAAAGGTAACTTGCTTTCTGGTAGATCAGCACTCTTGTAGAATATAAGATAGCAGGAAGAGGTGATGGATTTAGCCTCTGCTTTGCTGGCTGTGCAGTTTGAATTGTGATACAATTGCTCTCTTGAGTCCAGTTTTAAGCAGAACTACAGACACAGCTAGATCTGACCACCGACCCAGCCCACTTTCACATCACTTTAATATAGTCTTGACAAGTACTAAACATTCAAAGCAAAACTAAAGACGATACTGTATACAAAGAGACAATTGGGTCATTCTGTTGATTGGAAACTTCCTGCATACAAGCTGGATTTTAAAAAAAATCTTGTTCATGAATTTCAGTCCAACTGTCAAACACCGCTTTGCTTTCCTTCCCCACAACTACAGGATGCAAGCCCGAACAACAGATGATGTACGCTGGGAGCAAGAATAAGCTGGTACAAACAGCGGAACTCACTAAGGTATAATTTATCAGGGGGTAACCGTGTTAGTCTGTATCTACAAAAACAACAAGGAGTCTGGTGGCACCTTAAAAACTAACAGACTTATTTGGGCATAACTTTCGTGGGTAAAAACCTCACTTCTTCTGACCAGTTGCAAGAATCTTTCATAAAAAGCAGAATGTGAGTGTACATAAGATGCTGCTCTGTCTTGCCAGTCTGTCTCACATGTACACAATACAACAGGATCGTTATGTTCTTGCATGTTTTAAATTGCGTTCAGCGGGTGTCCATCTTGCAGGAAGCCTAAAGAAAGAGGAGAGTAAGCATGGAGATTTAAAAAAAAAAAAAAAAAATCCACAAGAGGACAGTGAGCCCCGTAATTCATGGTTGAACTAGGATGTTTTTAATAGAAGTACATTGTCTTGATTTAAAGATTTCAAATGGTGTGGTAGAACCCCCATCTCTTGATAAGCTGTTGCAGTGGCTAATTACCCTCACTTAAAAATATCTGCCTTATTGTAGTGAACCCTTCATAACCATCGCTGAAGCATGAAACACCTTAGGTGTCTATTTTCTAACAATGGTAGAATGGGTCTTGCCAACTGAAGAAGCATCCTCTGGTTGGATAGTTGGTTCTGACGCTGTTGGGTCAGAAATAGGAGATTATAAAATCTCCCCCGGACACCTGCAGGACACCTGAAAGTTAATGCTGAAACTCACAGGTGCTATTCTGCTTTCTTTTCCCCTTCCCATCTTGGTTGCTACCTTTGCAAATCTTATACTTTAGCCAGGGCAGAACAGGCTTAGTGGTCTGGCTTGCAGTCAGCTCCACAATACATTTAGGAAACACCAAGTCTGGAGAAGAGGGCCCTCCAGTTGGAGGGGAGAAGTGGGAGGAAGCAGGCTTTAGAGAGCTTGCTGTTCTGGCAGAAGGAGACTGTCTCATAGGCCTGGAAGGAACTGAGGCATAGAGGCATGAGAACTATAGCCTGTAAGAAAAGAGGGGGGACAAGGGGTGGGGGTCCCCTGAGGAGAAAGGTGAACTCAGGTTATGCACAGCTAATCCACTTGGTGAGTGGGGAAGTCTGGTCAGGTTTCTCAGGGGCCAGGGAAGCTAGAGACCAGCTGCATGTGGGGGTTACCCTCTTTTTGGCAAGAACCACAAACCGTTTGAAAACTGCCTGCAGGAAAGCCAAGGAATGGATTAGAGTCAGATCTGATCTTCTGGAACTGACCCCACTCTGTACCCAGGTCAGAGTGTTAACTTTCTGCTTCAGATTTAGATTTTAAATGTGCTTTATTCATACCTCTCACTGAAGCTTGATTTCATTCTGGCTCATGCTAGGGCCTTCTCCTGATCTGGGTCTCATACATGACTTAATGGACTTACCCCACTTCTTGGTGGCTTGGTAGATTAGCCTAGTTTCTGTTATGCTAGTCTGTGCTATCATATTGATCTTTTTCCCCATCTTTTACTTAACAAATCAATATGCCAGTAGACAGCAGTGAATAACAAATTGAACATGAGAATCCGTGTCTGTAGACTGGGCCTGAGAGGTTAGAAAACAAGAAGAAGATGGTGCAAAAGTGGAAATAAACAAAGGGACAAAAAAGATGTAAAAAAAAAAAAAAAGACCTAAAAAAAAAAAACAAAAGAAATTAATAATAATAATAATAAAGAAAACCTTGTGGATTACTAAGAAGATAGAATGAATGGGGAGGAGTAAACAGGTGATTCATGCCCTGCAATGGGTAAATTCACTGGTGATTTTATGTATTTTGTTATCCTTTTTACTCTCAGCTGAATACTGTAGTGTCAACATTAGCGCTGTGTGTGTGTGTACACGTGTACATGTATAGTGCTGAAAAATGTGACTCTTACAATTTCACATTGGTCTTAACAGTATGGTCAAAATATCTTGCATTCTTCTATTAGTATACAGTATGTCTTGTCTTGCTAATAATTCTAACTTGATTCTCCACAACTTCAATTTTTTGGTCTTGATTGCATTAGATAAAAAAATGTTCTCAAGGCTCTGTGGACATGTTATTGATGCAACATTGTTTTATATTGACTTAGCAATTGACTGTCCTAAAAAGATTGGGCATCACTCAAATGAGTTGCAATGATTCCAAATGGAGTGGAATAGTGTAAAATTCATCTATTCTGTGCCAGTATCAAAATCCAGAGTTACTTTCCTGCTAGGTGTGTATTGAGCAGGGAATGGTGTACTTGTTTCTGTTTAATTTGCTGTATCAAGGCCTTACTGAAGACTCTCTTCTGCAATTCTTTTTATGTATTTAATACTTAGATACACCAATGAGTACTGCCACGATACTTTTAAGTATCAGATGAGCAAAATATTATGGTGATACTTTGAGGGTTCTGCCTGCTTACAAGTTAATAATAATCTTGGGCTGAAAAAAATTAAAAGCCTTCAGAGTTAATTCAGCCCAGAATATGGTTATTGTATTGCAAACAGGAAGCACCTTCACATATATAGTAAATCTATTAGCATCCCTGAGCTGTGACTGACGATGCCACTTCAGAGTCACTTAAAAGATTGTTTGTTATATCCTTATCATATATAATGTAGAATCTTAAGAGAACTACACATGAAGGTAGCAAGTCCCAGAAACAGTAATTATGGCTCTCCGTAACTTGACCAAATCGTAACATGTATTTCCATTAGGGTCTCACGTTTTATTCTAGGTTATTAACCTGTCCTTGCAAAAAATGTGCATGAAGCAAAATGCTAACGTGATGATTCCTAGTGTAGCATGACTATTTTTAAAAAGTACACTAATGCATTTTATCAATAGAAGTGTGGTATAATGTGTTCTTTTCTTCCAAGGACTGAAATGTAAATATTTAACCTGATACAATTTTGTTTTAGGTATTTGAAATAAGAAATACAGAAGACCTAACTGAAGAATGGCTGCGTGAGAAACTGGGCTACTTCCATTAAGAGAACCTCTGTATTAAGTATTTATATACCATCCTGACAATACTGGAACCAGACACGAATACTTATGCCTAAAAATGCACTATATTTACAGCAGTTTCCTGCAGTATATTTCTTGTACAAAGTTTGGGGAAGGAGAGGAAGATTAGTCTCCGTGAAGTAAAACTTTGCAAAGTGTTTCCTTGTGTAGAACTCTAAAAGGAAGCACTTCTCTGCAGGGATTCTCTTTGTGCACTCTTGTGACTAATATTTCTATAATTACTACAGTTCAGTTCAGAAACTAACTATTTACAAACATTTGGAAGCTGACACTAACTTTTCATGAGCTGCAAATGCATCCTTTTGACAGATCCTGTGTACTAGCAGTTTATATGTTAAAATAGCATACGGCCACTTGTTAAAATTGAGAATTTTTTTTGAATTTCCCAAATTAGTCTATGGAAGTGTTAATATTAAACTGAAACCAAGTGTTTATATGACAAACATAACTTCACGTGAAAAAAATTCTTTTTAGGACTTTTCAGTACTGATTCTCTTTAATTTTAATAAGTATCTCCGTTGATTGTGAGTCAATCTAACTAAATTTCAGGGTAAAGTTCTATGACCACTAGTCAGTCATAAACTAGTTTCTGTAAGACTATTTTATAACTCTTAAGGGCTTAATTACAATATTGGTTACATGCATTCTGGATTTTTACATGCAAGACTTAATATTACACTATTTATAAATTAACCTCTTCACTCACATTACCTGTTATATGAACACCTGTTAATACTGTGTGCCTTTAATTTGTTAGCTTTAAAAGGACTAAGAATTTTACATTATTTACTCCAAATTTGGTAAAAACTAATCTTTGTTAAATGGTCTAAGTAACATGTTTTCTAATGCCTAGTGGTGCAATTAAACATTTATAAAATAAAACACACCTCGACTTAAAATGCCAGCTATCTGCTCCCATCAGTAAAGACCTGGGAGTACAGGGGTTCAAAGCTCTTAAGATCTTGTGAGTGATTTAGAATAGTCTGATTTTGTTGTTGAGAAACCTTGGCCATATATAGACCTTGTATCTTTTTTTTATGAAAGGAGGTCTCCTAGCTTAATTGCTTGTCAGTCAAAACTACATTCCAGCTAGGACTTCTGCACATAAGTAACCTCATTCAATCTTTAAGTTTCATCTCTTTTTGGTAAAATAGCAAAAATTCTAATATGAAAATAGTACTTTTTATAATATAGCTAAAAACTAACCTTTTAAAGGGTCTGTTTTATATAAAAGTAGAATAGTAGTTTGAGTTTGGGATATCCTGGTTAGCCCATGCAGTGGCAAACAGGTACTCCTGTGACAGTATCTCAGTTATGACTCACATGAGTGTTTGTCATGCTACTGAATAAGTGGCTTCTCATGAGCAGCTTCCAATCATGAACAGCTGTAGCTTAAAGTATAGTTGCTCTAATAATGTGTGTTTTGGTGAGGAGGAGGAGTGAATTAATCAGTTGTTAAATTGGGAGGCTAGTATTTCATTCTGTAAAACCTTTGCTGGGAGAATGCATGTTTTCTTGCAAACACATGCTGTGTAAGAGTATTAAACATGACTCTGTTTAAGACGACCACATGGACCCATGCAGTGCTCTTCAGTAGCAGCAGTTCATGTTTAGCTTGACTTATTGATTTATTCCTCCTTCATACACACATCTCTCAAACATCAGAGGGCTTTTCAATGTGTACAGGCTATGATGTGATTGAGAGAGACCATTAGTTCAGTGTAGGAAAAGTGACTTTTAACTGGAGGAAATAAGATCCTATGTTGATGTATTGAACTGGAACAACATTTCCTCATTTCCCTGGACAGAACATGTATTGATTGTAAAAAATGTTCTTTTGTCTTTCTCATGTGCTACAGATCAATAGAAGCAATTTCTTTAGTTAAATAAGGCTTTGGTCTTTAAATTGGTATTACTAGCAAAAGCAATTAAAAAAAAAAAAATCCGACTTGAAGGTCTTGCTTCGCTTGTATTGCATGAACTATAAGGCATTGTGATGTCAAAATCCAGTAGGGCAGAAAGAAACTGCCAGTTGTGCTGTGAGCCTGTGACATTCTTTAATATTCAGCCTAGCTTGTGGTGGGAAAACTGGATTTGTAAACCACTAACCAGACCAGTGTGCTTTGTATGCTATGTTGGACTGGCAATAGTCACTTTACTACTTGCACAGGGCTTAGCAGGAAGAATGCTCATAAAGGGGGGGAGATGTGCCCCATCAAGAAAACTGTTCTTAGTGTGTCTTTTTAGATGAAAATATGGGGTTTTGTGTGCTAAACTTATAATTGTACTTACAAATTAAGTGATTCTGTGAGAGTCACCTGGGGTGTCACCAGTTCTCTGCACAGTCTCCTGCTACCTTGATTCCCCATATCAAGAGCACTTCCTCCTGTTCAGTTCTTCCCATTCCCTTCTTCAGCACTTCACCATTCCACCCACCCCATTCAGATCTCAGATGTTCCTGCTGCCCTATCTTCTAACTTCCCTCCACTGCACCCCATACCCCAGAGTCTTCCCTTTATGCTGCTTCTCAAGAACTTCCATTGCCTAACTCCCAGTCATATGGGACTGCTCTGAAGACTGATGTGATGGTAGGGCCTACACAGGCAATGAATTCCTAAAAGCCTTGGTGGACCAGGCAGCAGTGTTGCTTTGTAAGTTGTGGGAGTAGAGTGCTGTCTTTGTCCCCTTTCTTCTCAGCTCTGCAGCGAAAGGGAGGGAAGTAACTGCAGCTACTGTGGGGGGAGTCCTTGCGGAGAACAGCTGCTGTTTGAGGGCTAATCTACACTTAATATATGTCAAGATACTGTACAGTCTCCTGCTGCTCACTGTCCAGTTCTCAAGGTCCCAGGACTGGCTCTGAGATATGGTAGTGTGCAGAACTACAGTACTTTTAAAGTAAAGGCATAACTAACCCCATTCAGATCTCTACTGTGGATGTGAGATTTGTAATGCTATCATATCGCTGACTACCCAATCTTGTTGTTTGAACTGCCTTTCTTTACAGCTACCCATGAAGATTAGCAGGAGGCAGATACATGGTGTTCAGAAAGCCAGTATATTCTAACTTTGCTTATTGTTAGTTTAATTTATGCCTGTCTGATGTAACCAAACTCCTCTCTTCTCTGCCAGTGTTTCGGAGATCTCTAAAGAGTACTCAAAACATGGGGGCAGAGGCGTGCTTTAAATTATCATGAGACTTGTTAAGTTTTGTAGCTAAAGGTCACTCAGCATTTTCCATTAGAAACTCCTATTTTTTTTTTTTCAGGAGTCAATCACTCAGCCATAAAAAGGTTTCCTGACCAGAAACTTTACTTAAAGGTCTCCAACAGGTGGCGTTTTTCTGCCACACTTAATTTGGCTGTTTTAAATTTCAAATAGGTGTACTTGGCAGGGAGGAGTGGGAGGGATCTCTTGTAATCCCGTGTGTGAGGAAAAAGCCAAACTGACTAAAGCATGAGAGTTTTTGCATGTTTTCACTTCATAAGATGGACTGGTTATATTGCATATGTTCGTGAAAAAATTAAATGCACTATTCGGTGGTTTAAAAGTATTTCTCGTACTATGTATGCCTCCCTTGATAGACCAGAATGTCAATAATGCTGGGACCTACACCTTTCCAATGTATTGTGCAAAGGTGCCTTGTACATTCCCACTGAGCTGATATTTTTGTGTCTTAAACTATAAAATGACTTTTAGTCCAGAAGTTACATTAAATTAATGCTAAGGGTCAAAGTTAAATGTGCAAAAGCAAGGGAATTCCAATTTTAAAAAAATCGCTCCGGGATTTCTCAGTTGTGCTTTGGAATGTAAGCGTGTCTCAGCATTCCGCTCGGACTGCAAAAGTGAGTTGTGATGGGAGTAAAGGCTCCAGTGGAAGCTCTCCACTTCTTCGTTTGCGTTTATTACGCTGGGTCAGGTGTACAATGTTACCTTTGGGTGCTGATGTATGCCAAGGCAAGCTGCCAGTGCTACGGATGGTAAAAAGATCAGGAGCCTTGAAATATTGATGGTCAGTCTTATTAATCTAACCATTCCATGTAACTGTTAACGTCAATAACTGGCACAACTTCCATCTGGTATTTAGTCTCTGCTAGTTCACACTGCATGTTTATTTTTAAACCAAATCTTTTGCTAAGCATGGTGCTTGTACTGGTTTAAATAAAATGTGAATACTCAAATCACTATTCTGTTTCTTGTTGTAGCTACCTACAGAATGCTGGGCAAGGTCTAAACACGTGGCCCACGTGCAAACTAGCCACAATAGGCCTTTATTCCATTCTCCTTTAAGCAACGGACACTGTGAGTAGGCCCATCTGGGAGAGAAGGAGCTAGTGGACCTGGTGGGTGGGAAGAGTACAAGTGCCATGCCATGATTCTTTCCTCCTCCACCTGTGGGATCAAGGTTGACTGTGGCAATTGGGGAGGTCTCTACCTCTTACCCCTCTGAGGCGTCATCTTCCATAAAATAGGGCTAACTTTGTTGTCCTTAACTAGCATCGTCACAGCTGGGGGAAGCAAATGGAATCCTGATTCTCCATTGCCTTGGGTCACTGTAAAAATATGATCGAATTGGAATGGTAGCACTCTTTACACCTGTGCAACGGGAGTATAAGATGACACAGTCAAGAATGGGCCTTAGCACAAATAATACTTGTGTGGGGTTTCAGGGCAGCAGTCATTAGACCCCCCCCTTCTAACGGAACCATGCTACCATGGACAGGGTCGATCGAGTTCATCGCTTTGATTCCATAAACCTGCCTCTGCTCCCAGCTAAATGATTCAGAGGAAGCTATGCTGTAGAAGTTAGCTATGTGTGCACACAGCTTAAGTTGGTATAAGTTAGAAGTATGAATAAGCTACCCCCCTGAGCGATGTAAGTTACACCAACTTAAGCACTAGTGTGGACAGCGCTATGTCTGCAGGAGAGCTTCTCCCACTGACATAGCTACTGCCGCTTGCAGGGGCTGGAGTAATGAAGTCGAGGGGAGAGCACTCTTCCACCAACTTAGTGCCTGCACTAGGAGCGCTATAGTGGTGCAGTGCACCACTGTAAGCTCTGTAATGTAGCCATAGCCAAACTTCCCCCTTCCTTGCCTACCTCTTCCTTTTGATCTAGCTCTGCTATTGATTAATTCTGCTTCCCTAGTTCTCAGCCCCCTCCCTGCTCTCTGCCAGAGAAGGTTCAGATGACTTTTGTATACCCTTCCTCACTCACCTGGGATGGGGGATGACCTGGCCGATCTAGGGAGTCGATAAAACAATAAAACCTGCTAACGTTCAAGAAAGGCTGCAAAGAAATGCTGTGAATAAACGGAAGTGCTTGTCAAAGCAGAAAACCTACGGTGAGAGCTATTTGTAGCTCTAAAGATGGAAACTCTTTGGATTTAGCCTCTAGACTTGTGACTGTTTGGCAGAGCAGTCTTGTAACTACTGCTTGAAAGATTTCTCACAGTGCACTCCTTTGGTGCTGGAAGCCTGCCTGTTACTTCTCTACAGTGGAGATCCACATAGGCAATGAGACAACTGCCTTTGTGTGGACCCACACTATCACTTCTTCCTTCCCCACTCTGTCTGGAATTGCAGAATATTTAGAGGAAGAAAGTGAGTGGTGGTTGGGGATGTTATCCTTTGTATTGTATTGGGGTCTGAGGTCCTAGCAGTGACGACAGATGCTGCTATTAATGGTTCACGTCATTAACGCAGAGTTAAGATTGCCTTATGATAGCTTGTGCCATTCCAGAACGCGAGTTTGCCACTCAAACTTCTGAAAACCAGGAAGTACAGAGTTAAGGTAAATGCCTACTGTGGTAGTCTGTAGCCCCATATTCATCCCTTTTGCAAGACTCTGTTAAATTTTGTACAAAGCATACTGTGTAAGGTATCATTTGAAAATTCATGATTTGCTGATCATTATTGTCCTGGTAAAATGTGTGGCAACACTGTATGTAAAGATATAAAATTCCACTGTATGATATTACTCAGGACATGTTCTGGAGGGCAGTCACAGACAAGTTCAACAGGGACAGAAGGCTAGCCACGGCCTCAGCCAGGTGTCTGTGAGATCAAATGGACCACCGCCTGATTGAGTGGCCACTCTTGGGCAAGAGAGATCTATATTTTGACAAAGCAGCAGGTTAAAGTTCCTGGCCACACCAACTTTCTGTCTCTTGAACATCAGCTGGAGATGATTCTTGTGCAAGAGAAAGGGCTATAAATGGAGAAGTTAGACCTCCCCCCCCCCCCACATTCCCCAATCATCTTCCCCTTGCTCTCCACTAACAGCATCATCAAGACTTGAAGAACAAGGAAGCAGCATTGAACTGGAGGGGCGGGGTGAGATCTTGACTGAAAGACGTTCAGCCAATAAGACGGCTGGAATATGTGGGGTGAGAGACCTTTGCTTTGTGTTCACTTAGCTTGTTAAGTGGTGTTTGTGTTTTTCCCTTTTATGTCCTTGTAACCAATTCTGACTTACATGCTTCATTACTTGTAGTCACCTATTAACTATAGAAATAATAGATTTTTAAATTTGTTTTGTTTTTATTCAAATCAGTGTGTTTGGATTGAAGTGGTTGGGGAAACTCCATTTGGGATAACAAGATTTGTGCATACCATTTTCTATTAATAAAATGACAGACTTTATATGAGCTTGTGTTGTCCAGGAGTGTGCTGGGCAGTACAAGACGCACATTGCTGAGGGAAAGTCTGGGACTGGGAATTCGCTGGTGGTGTTGCCCTGCAGTGTAGTTCATGAGTGGTTGGCTACAGCACTCGTACAATGTAGCTGGGAGTTATTTACATGCTGGGGGCTGTGCGTGAGCTGACAAGGAATGGTTGCTCTCACAGCGAAGCAGTGTAAAAGGCATCCCAGGTTGGAGAATTGAGGGGACACAGCTGTTCATCAGTCCAGATTGCACCCTGGGGAATGTCACAGTAAGTAACCACTCTTGGTAATTGGATGGGGGTGGCTTTTGGCTCCCTAGAGGTCATAGAAAGCAGTTTGGGATTGTAGGATGTTTCTGCCAAAATGATCAGCAGTGAAGTCACTACAGATATGAATGTTAACTTATTGTTGTTAGGTTTCAGAATCAACATGACTGAGATGAATGGGCAGTTTACACCTCTGAGTTGTTGCTTATGGTAGACAACACTGGACTGGCTTATGCTCCATTTGTGGTTTTCAGGGTTTCCTTTACAACCACAACTCTTTATGAATGCTTAAATTCTTAAGTGCAGTTTGGTGGCAAATTTCACAGCTGTGTAATACACGGGGCTCTGACTTTTGCTTTTAACTTGTTTGATATATTTTTTTTTATTGATCATGACACTTTGTATTGAAAAGTTTAACTGAGCAATTACCCTATTCAAATTTTCTATCCACTGCTGATCTTTATCACTTGTGAGGTAGCAAACTGAGAATACTGGTTCTGGTTCACTTACTGATCTTGATTAGCAGGAGATGAAAAGGCCACTTCTATTCTATGCAGAAATATGCTCTTATCACTGTAACTCTTTCCTCTATTCCCTCCCATCACTCCCTTCACTATGATGTGTCTTAAATTAAGATTGTATAAATGCTTTGGAACAAGGGCTGTCTATTATGATACATCTGTACAGCACCTAGGACAATGTAGTCCTTGGTCTGGTTGGAGGCTCTAGACAGCTACTCAATACACCAGGAATTGAAGCAAACATTATTATTATTTATTTTATTTTAGAATAAATTTACAAAATAGGTGAAGTTTATCAGCCTCTTTCACCTCTTGATTATTTCCCCACAACCATTTTGTAACATGTCACTCTTTTGGGAACCTCAAACATCCTTTCAGTTAGGTAATTTTCACTGTTGGTGTTGCAGAGATGTCTCCTACCTAAATTAACTGATCCTCATTGAGATTGTACTCCGCCTAATCTGATCCCTCGAATCGTTTAGATGTATTAAACAAGTGTTCCCCAGCAGGAAGCTAGAATAGCGCAGAGGGTGCGGGCAGAAGAGATGTGGATGTTTGGGATAGGTACAGGATAGTCAGTCCCCCTCATTGCAAACGTAGTTCTGCTCATGTGGGTAAAAGCAGCATGGGGGTTTTCTGGAAGGAACATACTATCCATCCCTGCTGCTGTGATGGCCCATAAGGCAGCTAGCTCCAGGAGTATGGCTTCTCCGTTCTCATGGCACTTAGCTAAGCTACATTGAAACCCCCATGCAGAGCAACATGTGCTGTAATATTCTCATCAGTGGAGAAATAGGAAGGGGGGATAGAAAAGACAAGAGGGAGAAAAACTAAAAGGGTGGTGGTGGTGGGGGGGGGGGGGAAGGATACATCAGCAATTGTTTGTGCAAGGGGGTCAGGAGATAAAGGGGACCCAGCTGCCCACCTGTCTGAAGGGAGCTCCAATACAATCAATCTGAGTAGGGCAGGAGTGATACTTTTATGCATCCTCCTTATAAGGATTTATTATTTAATACAAAGCCAGTTGGAAAATCCTAATGGATAATTGGAAGGAAAACATGCCTGCCCTGCTCCCCCATGCTGTGCCATCTGCTCTGACATCCACAAATTCTGCCTTGATTTGTGAATGTGATTAATTCAGCTAGGAGGACTGGCTAGCTCAAGGGATCCCCTGAAGTTGTACTCTACCCCCAACTGTGAATGTGCAATTGTTGGCCTCAGAAATGCAAAGCAAACTGCCAGCTAGGTTTGTGGAGGAACAGTCAAGTATATGCATCTTCCGTGCAGCACATTCTATCTAGTTTAGATCTTTAGATGTCCTCTCACCACCGTATCTTACAATCTATAATGTATTTACCCTCACAACACCTCTGTGAGGTACAGAAGTGCTCTTACCCCCATTTTACAGGTGGGGAACTGAACCACAGAGAGACCAAGGGCCAGATTTTTAAAGGTATTTAGGAACCTAGTAGGATTTTCATTTTGAAATCAACAGGAATTGGATGTGTAAGTGCTGCTGGGTATCTGCCTCTTTAGGCATCTAAACACCTTTAAAAATGTGATCCCAAGTGACTTGCCCAAGGCCTGCAGGAAGGCAGAGCAGGGAATCAAACCCAGCTCGCCTGAGTCCCAACTTACTACACTAACCATTGGACTATTCTCCCTACAGCTAGCCCGTTCCTTAAACCTAACATACAAGGCAGAGGTTCTAGAACTATGCTGCACTCCTCTTCCCCCCACGTTCTCCTCCTCCATTTTTCTATCCCCAATCCAGCTCAGCCCAATCAGTACAGTATCCCTCATGTTACTTATTTTGATGTTAAATTCAATGGTTGAGATTTTCAAAGCAG